CAGCAAATCCCACCAGAGTCAGTTGCGCATCATGAATTGAGCAATAATAATAATACATTGGAGGGAAAATTCCACACCATTTGCTCAGTGGATCAGTATAGCATCTCAAAAGATGATCTTCAGAGAATTCAGGTGATTTCAAACAGAGTTTAATCATATAACTTTGCTCTCAAAAGTAACTCCAATTGGTCTTAATTTTTCTGTTACCCATTGCAGACAATGAGCCTGGCAGCTATTGCACTGCAACTTCTTTTGAAGCTAAAGAGATATTTAAAAATCATGTACAGCCTGAATGATGCTCGATGCCAGGTAAATGCTTGTTAATTGGTATTTATTCACAAAATAGACAAAACCATTCAATTGGTTCATGGTGTTCTTTTTCTTAAACTAGTCTTTCAATCCAAATGAACCACCAAAACCGGGAGAGTTTCTGTCCAAGCAGAATGTCCCTTTCGACTTCAGCGACACATGCACCACTTTACCAACAACTTATCAAGAGTTTATGCAAAGATACCAGGTACGATCGAATCCAGTCCCTCGCAACCCTCTTTTCACCACTCAAACAAATCTCTTTCCCTTTCCCATGTTCTATTTATTCTCTCCCTCTCTCTTAATCTGCACAATTTTAACTCCACAGGATTTCAAGAGTACTCTTAGGGACGATGCATTCGACTACTCTGCATACACAGTGAACATCAAAAGGAAGCGACCAACCCCAAGAAAAGGACGGAAATCTACAATGGGTGGCGAGGACGAGGAAGAGGACGAGGATTGGAGTGGAGGCAGGAGGTTGGGTAGCAGTGGGAGGAAAGGTAGCTATAGCATCCGAGGAAGTAGGCAACGGTGATAGTTGGTGTAAGTAAAATGTAATGCATAGTTTAGGCTAACTTGTACATTAATCAAGTGAAATAGAATAGGGAGAGAGGATAGAGAATGACAGGGGAGAAGAAGAAGAAAGAAAAGGGTCTATTAGGCAATCGATTTGGAAACAGCCGATAGAAAAAGGTTGTGGAAGAGTAGTATAGGGGGCTCTCCAAAATAGCCAGTTTTCCTGTAGTTGTTTCCATAATCATGTAATTTGTTTTTGGTAATATCATATTGGTTGCATTCTTTTGTTAATTAAAATTCAGCACTTTCATTACACATTAGTTCCCGTAATTTTGCTTAGGAAATTTGTTGTTACTAATTGGAATGCTGCGTATGGCGTTCTAATAAATAATATGCACTTTTGGATGTAAGTTTGGGAATATGCCAATCATTAGTGATGCTGTCTCTCGTGGAGTGCTGTAAAAAAATTGTCGATTCCTTTTTTGTTCCATCCTTAACTTGAGTTTAGTGTTATTTTCTCTGTTTCTTTATATTTCTTGTGTTCATACTTTCTGAATATATTGATAAAACATCTCATCAGTGAACATAATCAATAATAGTGATTGTGTAAATTGCTCAAAAAGCATGAAAAGTTTACTTACTGATATTTGAATGAAGATAATGTGCATAAAGTCGAAATTGATGGCATCCGAATGATCGAGTATGATACAACATGTAAACATCTTCCAAAGGTGTTAAATTTAGAACTTCGAACCTAAAATATTTATAAAAAAGAGAAGCAAAGGTTGTTCTGTTCTCTTGAAGGTCATCAAGGTGCGATCACAAGAAGTGGCTGCACACAAGAAGGTTTGGAAATTCAGATCAAATATAATACAATATAAAGCAAGGGTTCGGTACGGATACGATATCGACGAGATCAAGAGAGGTAAGGCTTACCGTGTCTACGCTAACTGGTTTGCCATCTTCAGCCAATATTTCAACTATGGTTCCAGATTTATCAGCCTGAAATTGAAAATAAAATAAGAAACTGAAGAGAGGATATGCATGAAAATGCTGGTTGGAGTGATGGGGAGATACAAACCTCAATCTCATTCATTAGCTTCATGGCTTCAATGATGCATATGATTTGTCCTTTCTGTACTTTATCTCCCACCTAAACAAACAAATGAATGGAAAGGCTTTGAGTCAAAGACACCTTTTCCCCTTCATCTCTGTTCTTAATTCTCAAGTTACCTTCACAAATGGAGGTTCTCCCGGTGCAGGGCTTCGATAAAACGTTCCGGCCATCGGGCATTTCAAAGGCGGATGAGAACTACCCACTTTTGGTGCTGCAGATGGAGAACTGGCCGCTGCGCGTGCAGGGGTGGGCGGAGGTGCAACCATGCTATGCGCTTGGGGTGGTGGCAGTGCCATGTATGGACTTGGTGCAGCTGCTGGTGCTGCTGCTAATGGCTGTAAAGCTTCTTTTTTTCTTATTATGATTTCGCAATCCCCTTGCTTCAGTTCCAGTTCCATGATGTCTCTTGAATCAACCAGTCTGCAGATAAAAGATTCAATGTTAAAAGATGTTTCTATTCGAGATGACGACTCAGATGCTCAAACGTCAATTCCTTATTCACAATCGAACGAAAGTTACGCACTTGATGAGATCTGAAACTTGGCTCATGATGGTCGATATTGACGACTCGTCTGGAAGAGAATTTCGATCTGGAACTCCAACTGCAGAGTCCATTTCTCCTCCGGATGGCGTGTTCCCAGGCGTAGAGACGAGCGCAGGTGCAGAATTCAACGTTTTTCCGACAACCACCTGCGATAAACAAAGATACAAACATCTAAAAATCCATGAATGTATGTATTAAAAAGTTGAAATTGTAACTGATGCCACCAACTAACCTCATTAAGTGCATTCATAACTAAACCAGCAGATCTCTTCTTGTTTGACACCTGAGAACCACAAAAAAAGTGCATACAAAATGTAACAAAAACGTAAACATCTCACCCTTTACAGACTCTCATATTGTTAAGTGTGGTTAATTTGCAACACATCTGTGAGTAGTTTAGGATGATAGTAATGAAGTCATCAATATCGGCTTCAAAACATCATCTACATCAACCTTCAACAAGTAGGTACAAAAAAATTTCATTCAAAGGGATACGTTTTCCATTGACGACTCCAACCTATGAATGATAGGATCCCCAGCTAAGAGGGTGAGATCTCACCTTGGTTAGAGAGGGGAACAAATCATTCCTTATAAGGGTGTGGAAACCTCTCCCTACTAGACGTGAACTTTGAGGGGAAGCCCAAAAAGGAAAGTTTAAAGAGGACAATATCTGATAGGCTTGGCATCAGAGCTACATACTGAGTCGTGTGCCAACAAAGACGTTGACCCCTAAGAGAGGTGAATTGTGAGATCCCACGTTGGTTGAAGAGGGGAACGAAACATTCTTTATAAGAGCGTGGAAACCTCTCCCTACTAGACGTGTTTTAAAATCTTAAGAGGAAAGTCTAAAGAGAACAGTATCTAGCTAGCGGTGTGCTTGGGATGTTACCTTCAAAGAAACTATTTCAATGAAAACATGAAACTGGGTTTAGGAAGAAACACAAAGGCCTTCCAGTTTGCTAGGAGTTACAGAAAAAAAAGGGTTTAGCAACCAACACCAGGACAGCCAAAAAAAAACAGTACCAAACTTCACTTAACAACGAAGTTTCTATGCTATTGATTCCATACCAAATTTCCCCATCAAACATCACCATTTCCAATGACCATGGAGTACATTTACAGTATATAGATTGAACATTATAACAAGAATGTGAAATGAACACAGTAACAAACCTCAATCCCAGAAAACGAGGAGTCGATAAGAGAAGGTCCGAACGAAAAAGAATCCTTCAGATAAAATCCACGGCGATTAAGAGGAAGATTCTGTTTAATGTGGTTCTGGTGCGAATTCTTCTGAGCAATCGACGAGCCATAGCCGGCAAGAGCGGAAGCCTTGGAGCATGGGAGCGTGAAGGACGCCATTGGAGAGCAACCCAGAAGGTTGAAAGAGCTTCTCAGTTCTGACAAAGAAAAATCCTCGAAAAAGAAGGGGGGGAAAGAGGGGTATTGAGAAAGAAATCAAGAAGAATGGCGATGAGATCCAAGAAACAAAGTGGAAATGAAAAATGAAAAAATGGAGATGGAGATTTCAGATGAATTTCGATGATAACAATGCGATTCGACGAGAGTTGAGAGAATTGGATCAAATTAATATCGCCGTTTTTCTTTTCCTTTTTTAACGAAACACAACAAACCCACAAACACACACAACACATCATCGCATGCGTTTTTCATACCTTAGTTTTTACGCTCCAACCTTCTCTCTTCTTCCCTCCAACCTTCAAACACTCTATGCTTCTCTCTCTCTCTCTCTCTCTCTCTCTCTCTCTCTCATTGCAAATTAGATGAAATTGGATGATGGTTTTAGCTCAAAGGCTAATTTAATAAAAATATAAATTTATTTTTGAAATACTGATGAAAACTTGAAGGCATTTTTAAAATAAAAATAAAATTAACCGTTTCCATCTAAAGCTATGCTGCAAAGTTCAAATAAAGTTGTATAATCCTCGGAGACCCAGAGATGTTCAATTTGCAGGCAAGAGTCCTCGGAGACCCACTAAACAAAATTGTATATAAAGTGAGCAGGGGAGATGTTCATTTTACCGCTAGCTGGGGACCCACATCGACACCAAATAATATTTTTTTTAAAAAATGAAAAGTGCACATTAAATAGATAGAGAATTTCACAAACAAAAATGAAATAGATGACAGAGAAGAAGAAAAAGCTTACCTATCTCTACTTCATGGACATTTCTAATAAATAAATTGTCTTGACAGATTTGGTAGCTTTTCCTCAAATCTTTTTGAGTAAAGACATACCTGACATATTTCTTAATCTCTCTAATTTTACCAAATCTTTTATTAATTATAACACTAAGTCTCAATATATATTAGCATAATATTCTTTATTCAAGCTCACTCATTATTAACAGAAAACAGCAACATTCATAAACTAAAAACAAAATTTAAAGTAATTGTATAACTAAAATTGGCACATAAACAAAAATCAAATTTTTTTTGGTTAAAAAACTAACTAAATTAATGAAAATCAAGTTTGGTATTAAATTAAATTCGATTAATGTAAAAATGAAAGAAAAAAAGAACCAAAGAATTCAATTAAAAAACCAGCTTTAATATCATTTTGTCTAAATTGTAAAAATTGCATATAAAATATAAGTTTTACGCCTACCTTTTCTGTCAAACCCTCGAACGAACGAGTTATACCATGATCCCTTGGCAAGAAAAATTAGTGAAATTATATGCGTAGGTAAGAATATAATATAAACAACTGCTAAATTTCTTCATAAAAAGGGAAGAAGAGAAAAAGGCTCCACGGAAGTTTGAGCAACCAAAACCAAAAATGATCAGAAAAAATTCAGCGTAAATGTCAAAGATTGATTGGAGAATTCCAATGTCAAAGTTAATATCACACATGAACAAGGAAGATACGAACTTCTTATACCTTTGTATGACTTTTACAAATGGCAAAGAAAAATAATTAATCCGCCCGCTATTCTCGGAAAGGACGTAAGATTTATTTTGCGAGAATACTGCTGCTGAATGTGAACAAAAATAACACGGTACCGAAAGTCACGTCGTCTAATATCGGTTCCAGTACGTCCTGCGTCTGAACCAGTTGTAGTCAGGCAAACCCTGGATCGGACCCAATGCAGCAATTGCAATATCCTGTACAAGTGAAGGATTAAAGTTAAGCAAGGAAAGGAAACGTAACCTCGAGCACTTTTTCGCTACTCTTCCTCAGTTCTTACCCTATCGCAAATAAACCGGTTCGCAACACGTTTTATGGTGCTTGCATCAACAGCATCGATTCTTGCAAACAATTCGGCGAAGGGGATTCTACGGCCATATGTAAGCAGCTGCAACCAAAGGAAATATGAGGAATTGGATCATTTTGTAATACTATCAAGAAAGCTTGATTAGTTTCACGACCACACCAGAATACAAAGACAAGCATAAGACTGAGGAAAGGACAACGAATTTGATTATTCTTTCCCAAACATACTTGGGCCTCTAAGCCAATTCCAAAATTTCTCGAATCAAGAATTGATATGCAGAGAATGTTGTTATTTAAGATAATGGCAAGGAGCGGAGTACCCACCTGACGACCGATATCTTCTGCTACAGGGCTTGTTCCATCTATGTGAAGCAAAAGAGAAGATTTCAACTGCAGATTGCAACAAAAGAGTATGTCAATGGACACATAAATATTGGATTTGAATTTGACTACGAAAAGAATTTTTTTAAGAAAACATGCCCGCAGGCTATAAGCAAGATATATGGTGATTCTTATGTTGGAGAGCAATGTGGAATGATATAGACCACAATTGCATCATCCGGGCACAATGTCTCATCATAAAAACTGGGAATTTATAACTCTGAAGGGATCGGGATAATACTTTTTTACCTTAACAAAAAGGGACCGGGATATGACTTGAAACAAGTATGCTTATATTACCAATACAAGAAACTAGAAAGATTCTAATTTGCATTTAATTACTGCAGGATTATGGCCACCTAGACGAAGGATGAAGTCAAATATTAATTTGAAAAAAGTAACAAGTAACTCGGGCGGTGGAAGTCTATTTCCTTTTACCTCTAGTATTTGGGTACTGGTGAAATACGCTAATTCCGTTTTAACACACTTGTAGAGATACAGGTGTTATCACCAGTTCTCCTTGTTTATTTTTTATTATTATTATTATTATTATTTTGTTGGGATTGGGATTTCCTTTCCATCTCGCGGACTATTATGTTGCCCTACTTTTGTATGCTAGCTTGTATAAAACAAGTTCATCCCTTCTAATTTCAGCATAATATGAATTAAGTCATAATAATTTTCCCCCTTATCATTTCCAAGTTCAATTAGTATTAAGAAATGGAGGAAATGCCAACTTTAGACTCAGAGGAAAAATAGATGAAGCATCTACCTGATTGCGAGCACGGGTAACATCAGCTTCTGAAACCCGAAATGCTAACTTGGTTGTCTCGTACATTATTGCATAGGCCAGATCATCCAAGCAGTCTGGCTGAAAACATGGACACAATGATAGATATTTCAGCTAAGAAATCAAACTGCAGTTATCTTCTCATTAAAAAAATGAATTGGAAAAAAGAGACAGCAGAAGGATGGACGGACTAGGTTTCATTTTTAGTATCAAACCCTTTTGTCGCTTGTAGAAGGGAATTATTAACAAAGCGCACAAAAAACCCCCTCAAACAAACAGAACCAAAACCTAGGCATCTTTCCACCTATTATTTTTTTTTATTAAAAAAAAAAAAAGATAATAAATTCTTCAATTTTCTTCTAAATTCACTCAAGAAATTACCAGGACAAAGCCTCTCTACAGGGAACAAACTCTGGCTTTATCCTTTAGGAATATAGCCAGTGACACAGGAATCATGAACCAACAACCAAAAGCACTGAGAAATTTTCTTCAAACAAAACCAGGGGAAAATTGCATCAAAAGATTATCACAATATGGTCCACATAAAGCACACAACTTAGAAGGTTGAAAATCAGAATATTATGGGCCTCCAAGCTAATCAATAAGTTATAAACAATGATACATACATCAGCTTGGATAACTGTTTGATTAAAAGCCATGTGGCTACGAAGAGATCAATAACAAATCGTTATACTAAGTAACTGCAAACCTAAAATTAAAGCTATTCACAAGCATGCTTCTAAGTTTTAATAGAATAAAATGTATGTACCCAAACTATTACATCCTTAATTTTTATTTGAGAGTTATGGACTACAAAATGTAATAAGTCTAATTGTAGTCCCTAATTTAGAACCAGTGCACATAGATATGTGAGAAACTCCCAAAATTTATTAATTTACAAATAAATATGATAACTAAAACATCAATCACACAAAAACGGATTTTGAAAAAAAAAAAACCATTTTATCTGCTAAAACTCAAAGATAGAACCAGTATTTTTTCTGCTTATATTAAGATCAAATGGTAATTAAAAACAATGCTCTATTTTCAATTATAGAAAACTAAAATTGATACGTTTAGAGAGAGAGAGAGAGAAAAAAAAAAAAGCGTCTTGTATTCTTCAACACAGAAATCTCAGAGAGCATAAATGGTTTGGGAACTAGAAAAAAATGATGTCATCCATTGTGCATATTTCTAACAGACCATTACAACAAAACCCTGCAGCATGTGAGGTCCAAGTTGTGCTACACAACCTTACGAGACTTAGCATTTAACTTTGTAATATCCAAGTAAATCAAAGGCCATGGTACATATGAAATTATCAAGGAATAATTGAAGTACACATTAACGAATAGAATATATCAAGGCCAAGGATCCTATTATTACAATCACCTTTGCAACAGCGTAGACACCAAAAAGACCAGTGTCCTTGTAATTGGTGTTGAAAGCCATCATACTCTCTGCTACTTCATCTGTGGCAACTCTTTGGGCCAGCTCAGAACTGTTCATACATTTTTTTAAAAAAAGAACAAACAATTATGAATAATGAAAATAGTTATCATTATGAAAATAATTTCCACAGGTAAGTAGTAGTTATAAGTTTAAGATTGAAATTAAGACACAGAGATAATAACGGGCTGAAGGAGGAAGGAAAAAATCACCCCATATGCTTTCCACCTCCAGCACTTTTATTCCATGAACCCAACATGGCCTGCATGACCATCAGAGCAATGGAATCTGGATCTGTCCAGGATGCTCCATTAAAAGCAATAGCAAATTGTGCCAAAGGAACATCATCATCAATTATCCTAACCTGTTTATCAGTGAAAATATAATTTTGGTATTGTAAGTTATCAATAGAAAGAAAGGTGGATTCCAAATAATATTCTTCTTGTACCTCGGAACCAGTAAAACTTGCTGGCTCCTTAGCAACCAGCTGAGTGGCTGTGGTTGGTTCCGCTGACAGCTTTGTGAACAATTTCTTTACTTGCTCAACGAAATCCTCGTGCTTAACAGCTCCAGAAGCAGCAATAACCTGAAAGAGAGAGTGGCAACATATTATTGACAACCATTTTCCAGTGGAACCTCGAACAAGTATCTTGATTGAAGAGAGAAGTGGGAGAAAGATACAACACAATCAACACGATCAGTATATAAGCTCTTTCAAAGAGTAATTAAACAATGAAATAAATTGATCATACCATTCTTGGTGCCGTGTAATGCGTTTGAATATAGCTTTGAAGATGATCCTTGGTAATTGTCCTGATATTTTGAGCTGGACCAAGAATCGTTCTACCAAGAGGAGTATACTGGAATGCAGTCGCGTGCAAATGGTCAAATATAACTTCTTCTGTTTGCCCTTCAACCTGTGTAGTCAACGTCACAAAACTACATGTCATGAGAATATAAAAACGCAACAGTCCTAAGTCATGGCCAACCCCACTATCAAAAGGAAACCAGACTCGTGTGGTGTGAAGAACTAAATAACCCCAGGTACAATGCCACCAGGTACAAGGCTCATTGGCTCTATCAATATATACAAGAAACTAACTTTTCTGATAGGGGAAAAGTTGCGGCTCATGTGATCTTATTTTTATTTCCATCTATAAACATTTCCAAGTAAGAAGAGAACTACGTCGTACTATCCACTACAAACCTCACAAATCAAACAAATGGAGAATGATTCTTACCTCTTCCATTTCTCTCAAAATCACATCCCGCTCGCGACTAATCCGGTGCTCTCCAAACTTGGAATTCTGCAAAATGTCGGCCAAAATATCCAAAGCCTTGGGCACATCCTTGTCCAAGACCTTGGCATAATACGTAGTCTGTTCCCTGGACGTGTATGCATTCAAATGGCCACCCATGTTCTCGATCTCCTCCTCGAGCTGCCTCGCCGTCCGTCTCTCTGTTCCCTTAAAGATCATATGTTCAAGGAAATGAGCAGTGCCATTAGTCTCCTCGGTCTCAAACCTCGAGCCGGCATCGATCCACACTCCAACCGTCGCAGTCCGAGCAGCAAGATTCGATTCAGTTGCAACCCGGAGTCCATTGGGAAGAGTAGTGATGCGGGTTTCAGGCGCGGACAGAATCCGAGTGTGGTCAGTGATGGTCGGATGAGGCGACCCGTATTTCAGAAACCTAGGGTCGGGATTCTCGAGCTGTTTGAGCTTCGATTTCACCCCCTCCGCGAGGCGATCGTAGATCATCGCATTGGGCGGTGGAGGAGAAGGAGGTGGAGAAGACGACGCCACCGCCGGAGAAGTTGACGCCGATCTCACAGCCTGAGAAAAGGAGGCGGAGAACCTCCGGTGAGAGGTGCGAGCGAGCGTGAGAAGATGTTTGATCGCCATGATTGATTTTGCCCCCTTGCTCCCTAGGGTTTGCAGCGGCCACAGAAATTGTTCTTTCAGAAGAAGAGGAACTTGTGGAAAAGGGGCGAGATTGGGAGTGTTTCGCGGGAATGCAAACGACGTCGTTTCAAGCATACGACACCGTTTTTGTTTTGAACAACCGGCATTTGAGCCTAGTTTCGATGCTGTTAGACCGAATTTTCCTCTCTCCTAAATAATTTTTTTAATAAATAAAATATTTTAAATTAGTTTCAATTAATTTAAAAACCTATAACAAGGTTGAATTTCTTATAATAAATTACCGTTCTAAATATCTAAATATCTTTACGGTTTGATTTACGCGGTTTAATTGAAAAACCACCCTGACTCCAAATTTGTTCTAATTGTCTATTTCTATCGAGCCCATTACCAGCTTCTCTCTAGCCATTGTGACGACCCCTCAAGTAAAAGGAAAAAATGATCCGTCGATATCTCTTCTGGGCATGGGTTTTTGAGTTATCTCCGACGAGCGTAGGGTATGGGTTTTTCAGTTTTGGGCCCATATGATATTTGGGCCTAGGCAGTATCAGTCCACTAGGCTTTTTGTGCCCGTATGTGCTTTGGGCCTCTGCAGTATCAGCCCACTAGGGTTTTCAGCCCATATGGTTTTGGGCCTAGGCAGTATCAGTCCACTAACGTTTTGGGCCCACATGATATTTGATACGTTTTCTAAATAGGGCCCATATTCAATATCAAGCTTACAGATGCCAATACAAGGTTTAACTAAAACAAGTTTAAGAAGTCTATATTTTATAATTTATAATTAGAATACATATTTATAAATATGCATCCTCATATGCGTGTATTTTATACTTCATTTAACACCTAAAATATAAAACAAAATAAAAGATATTTAACGCCATACTTTATTATAAAAATTATAACATTTATTTCGTAAATAAAAACTTTTTTTTAATTATTTATCAAAAACTTTAAAATTTAAAAAAAAAAACAAAACTTCCTAAGACGTTATGTAATAAGTCAACATTAATAAATGACCTAATTTTAATTTTAAGTTTCATAATAATAGTACGCATAAATAAATGACAACGGCGTACATTAGCCATCCTTCCATTTTGACTTTTTTAATTCCATTAATTGATTTTTTTTTTTTAAATTCCAGTAATTGATTAATTAAAGTTTCGTCAACTTAAATATTTATAACTTATTTAAATGAATGACTCATAATTAATAAGAAATTAATTCTTAACAAATTATTTATTATATTTTTTAATGCGTAACAATTTATTATTAAAAGAATTTGCAAAAACTAAACGTAAATTTATATTATTTAACGATATAAATTTTACGATTTTAAGACATCTCAGTAATTTTCACGATAAAAATTAAATCATTACAAATTTAAAAAATATAAAAATTAAATTGTTATTAGTCGAATTTTATGGACTAAATAGCAAATTACTAAAAATTAAAAAAAAAAATTAGAGGCTAAAAATAAATTTAAAAAAAAAAAGTCAAAATGTGATGAATATGACGTAAAAGAAAAGGAAAAATAGATCTCGGCGTTTCCCCTCCATGTGACAGTAATTTTGTTATTTTTATTTTAAAGTATACAATATATATATTTATTTATAAAATTTCAAGACAAAAATAATTTCAAATTATTAATTAATTTATTTAAGAAATAGTTTTAAAAAAATGAAAATCATAATTTTAATAATTTTTAAAAATAAACGTAGACATATATTGGTAATAAAATAAATAATGATATTGCCAATGAAAATTTAAATAATAATTGTGGAAAAATCAACACTTTAATTTCCTTTAAAAAAAAAAGACTTTTTTGAAAATATAAAAAGGAGGCATCATTAATTAAGGTTTAAGGTTGTGGGTTTTGGCCTCTAATTTTATTACGTTTTTTTTTTAATTTTTAAATGAATCTTAAAATTCACTCAAAATTAATTTTCTGAGTCTCCAAGCAAGTCCATGCTTAGATTTCAAGTTTTCTTCCCTTTTCCCTAATTTTTTCCCTTAAAAAAAGGACAAATAATTATAGTATTCACTGATGATGTTGGAGTCTTAATCAATGATGATTATAATTATAATTGCTCAATTTACACCAAAATAAACACATATTTACCATAATTAAAGTTAATTTAATGATTTTTCTTAATAAAAAATTACATATATATAATTATTTTTAACAAAAATAAATAATTGCAAATATACAAAATCTTCTGAAAAAAATAATATATATATAATTTAATTTATTAAGATATCAGTAATATTGGTGGTAGGACAAAGATTGTAATCTTCACTGTTAACCTCGTTAATATCACTTTTTAAAAAGGAAATTATTCACCGAGAGTGAAAAAAACAATTGAAGCTACAAAATTTAGAGGAAGAAGTGTCGAGATGCTACGAGCTAGCAAAAAGACGTCACGAATCATGCTGTGAGCTAGTAAAAAGACGTTACGAAATCAATGCTACTCGATGCTATAGTTTCACTGTGCTTCATGTTGTAGCTTCTCAACGCTATAAACACACGTGACGAACGGTAAAAATGCAGTAGTGTTGAGATGATACGAACTTGCAAGAAAACGCAATGACTCAATTCTACTCGACATTACGACTTCACAGACTCAACGCTTGACACGTCTCCATTCTGTAAATGCATGACTTTTTATATGTAGCATCTCGACGCTGTGAAGATAGACTCATAAATTGATTTAGAGTTCTAATTTAATTATATTTTGGATTCCGAAATCGAGAATTATTGATCTCAAACACGAGCTAGTTTAGATATATTACCATTAAATTAATAATTTAAGCATAAAAAATTTAAATAAAAATGAAAAGGAATAATTTATGGAGAAAAGGCTATGGTAACTTTTTTTTTACTATGCTGTGAATGTTAATTTTACGTTTCTATCCCTCTCGGCGTTTCAAACGTGTGACGACTTGACAGCCCCACCGGAACATGCAACTGCAAATTCCTTTGTCGAAATAAAAAATAAAAAAATAAAAAATAAAAAAAGAATGTACTTAATCGTCTTTTCCTATTTGTTTGAGGGCATTTTCTTTGTACACAATTTGCGTATTTAAAACCAGCTTCTTCTTCCTCCATTTTCCATTCTGAATCTCTCGCACCAAGTTTCAGAAACCAATTCTCTGAGAGAGGTAATGCTTTCAACTCTCTTTTCTTTCAATTTCCTTTCCACATTTCTCATTCATGTTTTTCGTTTAATTTCCCTCAAATTTCCTTCTGATTCATTCATTGAATTCTTCGGATTTTCAATTCCTCTTCTCCTCGTCTTTGTGTTGTTCGGCATTCGGATCTGTTTCTGATTGCATGTTTTCGTTCTTGATCTGTGATTTGTTTCGTCTTGTTGCTTGTCCAGTTGCACTGTTAGTATGATTCATACCAGATCTGACTTAATTCTGTGGATTTTGTTCGAATTGTTACTCCACTAGTGTGGTCGTCTTCTGATCTTAGATCTTCTGGAACTTGTTTGGTAATTTGATTTGATCTGCATGTTTTGATCGTAATTAGAAAGGAACGTTAATTTTTATTTAGGAAGGGCTCTGGTTATGATAACTGGTTTGATGTTTTTGTTGACTGGAGTTGCTTTTAACTACCGGCTGTCCTGCATGCTGTTTTGCGCTTTCTTCGTTATTTGTGATTCATTGAGGTTGAATGGAGATGTCAGTGTTCTTTAAATTATACTCCTAATAGATGCATGATTGATGATTCTGATTCAACTGCATTCAGGGTGATTTTTGTTCGGTTTCGTGTTGAGATCTTTGTTTAGATATTTTATAAGACAGGAGTAGAGCTTGCTAACGAAGTCAAATCCTCTTGGTTCGATGACATAGTTTCCTTATAGAGATTTTCTTTTATGATTTGTCCTTATTCGTATGGTATAGAATGATTTTAGGTGGAAGACTTGGTGACGTTCTCATAGTTTTAGTTTTCATTCCCCTTATATTGCAACCACTATTTTGTCCAGATTATAAATTGACAAGGCAAAAATGGTGAAGATCTGCTGTATTGGTGCGGGATATGTCGGAGGACCTACAATGGCTGTTATTGCACTCAAGTGCCCGAAAATTGAAGTGGCTGTTGTGGATATCTCAGTGTCTCGGATCAATGCCTGGAACAGTGACCAGCTCCCAATCTACGAGCCAGGTCTTGATGGCGTCGTGAAGGAGTGCCGTGGCAGGAACCTCTTCTTCAGCACTGATGTGGAGAAACATGTCTTTGAAGCTGATATTGTTTTTGTCTCCGTCAACACTCCCACAAAAACTAGGGGTCTGGGAGCTGGTAAAGCTGCAGATCTCACTTATTGGGAGAGCGCTGCTCGTATGATTGCCGATGTATCAAAATCTGACAAGATTGTTGTTGAAAAATCGACTGTCCCGGTGAAAACTGCTGAGGCCATTGAAAAAATCCTTACCCACAACAGCAAAGGAATAAAATTCCAAATTCTCTCAAACCCTGAATTCCTTGCTGAAGGAACTGCAATTAAGGATCTCTTTAACCCAGACCGTGTCCTCATTGGAGGGAGGGAGACCCCTGAGGGTCAAAAGGCCATTGGTATGCTGAAGTCCGTTTATGCTCATTGGGTACCTGAGGAGCGGATTCTCACTACCAATCTTTGGTCTGCTGAGCTCTCCAAGCTTGCTGCCAATGCTTTCTTGGCTCAGAGAATTTCATCTGTTAATGCCATTTCAGCTCTTTGTGAAGCCACTGGTGCAGATGTTTCTCAGGTTGCCTATTCTGTTGGCACAGATTCCAGAATTGGACCAAAGTTCCTCAATGCCAGTGTTGGTTTTGGTGGATCTTGCTTCCAAAAGGATATCTTAAATCTGGTTTACATCTGTGAATGCAATGGCCTTCCAGAGGTAGCAGAGTACTGGAAACAGGTGATCAAGATCAACGATTACCAGAAGAACCGGTTCGTTAACAGGGTAGTTGCTTCTATGTTCAACACAGTGTCAAACAAGAAGGTCGCCATTCTTGGCTTTGCTTTCAAGAAAGATACCGGTGACACGAGGGAGACCCCTGCCATTGATGTATGCAAAGGACTCTTGGGAGACAAGGCACGGTTGAGCATCTATGACCCCCAAGTCTCTGAGGATCAGATCCAGAGGGACCTCACTCTCAGCAAGTTTGAATGGGACCATCCTACTCACCTCCAGCCAATGAGCCCCACAACTGTTAAGCAAGTGAGCGTCGTCTGGGACGCCTACGAAGCAACCAAGGAAGCTCATGCAGTCTGCATCCTGACCGAATGGGACGAGTTCAAGTCTCTCGACTACCAGAGGATATACAACAACATGATGAAACCCGCATTCATCTTCGATGGCCGAAATGTGCTTGATGCAGACAAGCTGCGTGAGATCGGTTTCATCGTCTTCTCAATCGGAAAGCCTCTTGATTCATGGCTGAAGGACATGCCAGCAGTGGCTTAGATTTTGCCTCCCCCTTCACAATGGCTTCTTCCTCTTTGCATGCAAGGCAACAAAAGCAGTTGGATTCTTCCCCATATTTTTAATGTATTGTTGTTTGTTTTTTTACTTTCATTCTCATATCATATCTCTTGTCTTGTCAGGACCCTCGAAGGTTTGAGACCATATGTCTTGCCTTCACAATTGTCTCCATCTCTATCGTTTTATGTTCCCATAAATTTTTTTGTTAGAAAGTTCATTACGTTTTTCTTTGCTTCATAAATGTTCACAGCTTTCCATTTGTCCTTAGGATCCCATAACTCACCATATGCAATGAGCCTTTTGTAGACCTTTTTTTTCTTATTTTTTATAATCTCAAACACTTTCTGGTTTTCTTTTAGCAAGTCAGTCATTCATCTTCTTCTCTTCCACTTACCGTTTGAATCATTATTATTATTATTTTTTTTTGTTACTTTATTTCATTTAAAATAATTTGCATTTAAAATAATTTGCCTAAACAACATTATTGAATTTTTATTTAGTTTCTAAGTTGAGTTTATCGGTTATTAATTTAAACCTGAGGTACGAAAAGTGTGAGTTTGTAAATAGAATCAAAATTTGAACTTTTAGGCCAGCCTGTAATTTACCTTTTTCATTTTTGAGATGTAACATTGAGAAAACTTTTGGACACGTGATTTGATAGAGAATGACTCTTTCCAGCACGTGCCAAAAATACCGAAAATACCCTTTTTCGTTCGCTGGTTGCGAATAACTTAACTTGTACTCCTCGCCACCGACACACCTCTTTAACCAGATTCCATGGACAGGGCATTTTCGACTACATGATAAAATGCCACATATCTTAACCACAAGTTTTATCTAATTTGGCACAAAAAAATTGTCCTCCGTCAAGGTCATCTTCATATGACCACGTGAAAAATGTTTTACTTTCGTGTTTGTTAAGTTTTTACTATTCTTGGTATATCAATACGAGGATGTATATCAATTCCCTAAAATCATTTCTATAGTTATTGAAATTAAATCCCTAAAATCATTTCTATAGTTATTGAAATTAAAATGTCTCAAAATGTACTACACCGAATGTGATTAGTCGTCAATTCTTCCTAGTAGTCCGAATATACACTATCAAGGTTGTGGTTGTTGCTTATTCGTTTTTAGTTGATTTCTTAAAATCGATTTCCAAACTTTCTAAAACTTTCTCTTTCCTCGTTTTCTATAAATATTTTGAAGAATGAGACAATACTTGTGCCAATGACGACCCAAATTCTAGCTGGTAACTTACTCGAGGGTGAGAGTAAGTGCCGCAAATCACGTTGCGAATCCTGACTGAGTGCATGTGACTGTGACATCCTTCCCCACTGATCCAATTGAAAATAGTTACGGAATATCTCACTACGATGAAACATCTAAAGAAATGTGCAAACCATTCGAGAAACTAGAGTGTTACTTGCCTCAACTGATCTACAAACTAGAAAAAATATATGAATACCTCACTTTGCATGAAATATGAAATAACTAGAATGTTACTTGCTTCTCTAGCTCGAATACTCAATTTAGTTAGAAGATTTTTTTTAGTGTAGCAAAGGTTTTAAGAATGTATTTTCGGTAGTTTGAAGATAGACATTTGTATGAGAACCTTCAGACTTTTTTATTTTCCCTATAAATTAAATTAAAAACGTACAAAGTCAAGTTAATCCACGAGTCGAGAGCATGTGTGGCGCGTGCCTCCTTGAAAGGTTTTTTTGCCCAAATTCTTCTCTTATTTGTTCATAGCTCGATCATTCTGTGTTGACCTAAATTTTTTCCCACATTAAATTAAGTTTCACCTCTGATTTTTCCCGTAATTTTGGTTCAAAATTATCCATAACAAATAAATTATAACATGTCATTTAACTTATTTCAACTATATTTGAAAATAATTAATTTAATCTGTAAATAAATTATAACGATGAGGTGATATATTTAAAGAAATGTGAGGGATCCTTAATAAAGAAAATAATCCAGAAAAAAATTAAAATTATTATGTGATGTCTCGCATGTTAGTTGGGAAGAGAACAAAACAACCTTTTATAAGAGCGTGGAAACCTTCTCTTAGTAGACGCATTTTAAAGCCGTGAGGGGAAAGCCCGAGAGGGAAAGCTTAAAAAGGACAATATCTGTCAGTGGTGGGTCTGGGCCATTACAAATGGTATCAGAGCTAGACATCGGACGATGTGTCACCTTCGGGCTGTTCCCCGAAAGGGGTAGACAGCTAGCCCCAAAGGGGGGTGGGGATTTGGTGGCGGTCCCACATCGATTTGAGAAAGGAATGAGTGCCAGCGAGGACGCTGGACCCCGAAGGGGGGTGGATTGTGATCTCCCACATTGGCTAGGGAGGAGAACAAAACACGGGTGTGGAAACCTCGAGGAAGAGGGAAAGCCCAGACAATATCAGTAGATCTGGGTTGTTACATATTTTTCTTCAAAAAAAATTTAAATATAATTTTATTATTTTTCAAATAGCACCAATTAGTTCAATAAATATGAATGAAAAGTAATAACAATAATAATAATAATAAAATAAAAAATTAGACGATATTATTAAAATTGAACAATCTGTTGGTCTGCAACTTTATAGTGATACAGCGATCACTTTATTAGGCGATCATTGCATGCAACCATTTTCATTTCGATCGCTCACCAAGAACCATCCATGATCTCTGCTTCTGATTCTGGATGCGTTCGTCTTCCACTTCCAATTTCTTCCTCAATCTTCGCATTTCCCTTCGAAACCGCTCAATTTCTAACATGGATTTCCTCTTTTCTCTCTCAATAGGTCACTCAAAATCCTTCAATGGAGCTTCATCTTCAAGATCATCAAGAACAGACGAAGCAGCACCTCTGTAAGCTCTGCAACAAGAGCTTCTCCAATGGCAAGGTCTTGGGCGGCCATATGAGGTCCCATCGCAGCACTCAAAATCCGCCCAAAAAGCGCAAGAAGAACTCAATCACCGCTTCCTACAGCCTCAGAGAAAACCCTAAAAAGTCTTGGAAATTCTCAGCTCCAATCCCCCAAAATCCCCAAACCCCTTCGCAAGAAAATTGCTGCAAAATCTGCGGCAAAGGCTTCGATTCCTCCAAAGCTCTGTTTGGTCATATGAGACACCATTCCGGAAGAAGAAAGGAATCCGTCCAGAAATCTAAAGAAAAAGAATGCAATAATAAAGACTTGGGGAATTTGAAATCTCTGAGATGTCAATCGCCGATCGCTGGCGGGCAATCGGACGGCGAAACGTTAGGGCTTTTGCGGCGGAAGAGATCGAGAAGAACACGGTGTAAGTTGAGTAACCCTTATTGTTGTGCTGCTTCTCCTTGTTCTTCTGATTTGATTGAATATTCATCTTCTTGTGTTGTTGATGGAATTGAGCCTGATGTAGAAGAATTAGCTCTCTGTTTATTGATGCTTTCCAAAGGGGTGGATCATTACGGGGGTGAGTTTAGTTCTGAATCCATGGGGGGTAGCCATTGTAGTGGCTTCAAAGCTAAATCGCCATTGAAAAGAGCAACCCATTTGGATTTGGATTTGGATTTGGATTTGGATTTGGATTCAGAAGAAGAAGAAGAGAGAGCTAAAGTGGGAGTGTTCCCAGAAGTTGGGAGATACTTGAAACCATTGAAGAAGAAATGCGAGATTGAGGGATTTTATGTGAAAGTTAGTGAAGAAGAAGTGAATGGGGAAAGTGGGAAAGAGGGTAAACATCAATGTGGTGTGTGTTTGAAGGTGTTTGGATCTGGGAAGGCCTTAGGAGGCCACAAGAGAGCTCATCTTTTGAAACCAAATTCAATGGATCTTGAAGAAGAAGATGATGAAGAAGACGAAGATGATGATGAAGAAGATGATGATGATGAGTTTAAGCCATGGTGGAATGGAGATGGTGATGATCATCATAATGGTGGGCGGCAGCTGGTGGAGGGTTTGGCTTCTTCCAACTGACCCCATATTTCTTGCTGAGTTCATCGAAGATGAAGTATATAGAAGTAAGTTTCGTTAACGATGAAGCTCGATTTGATTCATAAAATTCTTTGATTGTAACACAAGGATATTGAATTTTGATATCATTACTGCACGATCAACATAACTCAATTGGTTAAGTATATCAATTAAAAAGTTAAAATTTTAAGTGGCGTCCCAAGTACCGCCTCGTCTGGAAAACTATAACCAAAATCTTTTTTATCCGGCATTAATTTGGAACCACGTGCATCTAAAACACCTCTTACTAAGATCGTATGTAAACCTAAAGCAATAGCATGATGAATCGGATTGAGTACTTCAATATGCTTCGACCATTGGATACGATGGTTGAAGATAACAAAAATTACATTGATGAATTGGATTGAATGCTTCAATATTTGAAATATAAATTACAAAAATGGTTGATGATTAAAATATTTGAAAATATTCTTAATATTTAAATGGAACCATTAATGCTATATTTAAAAATATCCATAATTTTTTAGGAATAACATTAATATATATAACTGAATGATAACTTTTTATTAAAAATTTAGAGATCTTTGGAAGAGAAACTTTTAGGGTCAAAAACAGACCAATATAACATTATATTTATTAGGAACAAAAAGTTAATACATCTCAGATCTCAAAAAGAAAGGAAAAAAAAAAAAAAAAAAGAGTTGACCGTTCCTGAAATGCAGTGCATTCAGAACTTGAACTACACATTCTTATTCCTGATAACATACCATATACTCTCAGCAGAACATCCAACCACCATTTATTTATCTATGGTAGCTCAACAGGCTTAATGTCCCAGATATCTTTGGCATATTCATGAATGGTTCGGTCGCTGCTGAACTTGTATGACCCCGCCGTGTTCAATATCGACATCCTCGTCCATCTCTGCACCAAATAAACAAGTTCAAAATTTATAATTCAACATGTTATTTCCTATAAATAAAGATAGATGTTACCTTTTGATCCCGGTAGACCTCATCAACCTTCTCTTGACATTCAATATAGCTGGGGAAGTCCTTTCCCACAAGGAAATAATCTGCACGACCAAAACCTTCATTTCCCTCCAATGATGCTATCATTTCTTCATAATCATAAGCCCCAAACACGCCACTTCGAACATAATCTTTCACTTCTTCAAAACGTGGGTCCGGGATGAACTACATTGAAGACACACCAATCTTAGTATACAAGATATAGATATGTACATTTACTTATAAGTTTTGAGGCATTATTAGTAGCATGCATACCTTTCCTTCGGCTCTTTCTTTCCTAAGACCAGCAATCTCGTGGGCTTCAGCACCGAATAGGAAAAAGTTATCAGCTCCAACTTCTTGCCTTATTTCAACATTGGCTCCATCCAAGGTTCCAATCAGGATACAGCCATTCATTGCAAACTTCATATTACTTGTTCCACTGGCTTCCATTCCAGCGGTACTGGAAAACGCAAAAAGTGTTGAAGAACAGCGTTAGGAACATGCTAATCCACATTCAACGGTATGTTTGGGGTCATAGAGTCAAAATTGGAGTAAGGTGTTGCAATCCAACTAGAACCACAACTAGAACCAGAGGGCATATAATTTAGAGACTACGAAACAAAGATTTCTAGTTACCTGATGTGCTGCGACAATTCGCTAGCAGGGATGAGTATTTCAGCAGCACTGACATTGTAGTCGGGAAGAAAAATAACCTGAGGCAAAGAGGCAGTACGGTCATGAAATATTGAACCTAGACTCTCATACAAATGATGGCAGAAGGCAATATGCTGAATTAAATGATGATGATTCAAGTGCACGATTGTACCTTCAACAAGTCACCAATTTCAGGATCACGGTTAACTGTAGCGCCCACATCTGTAATAAACTTCACGATCCTCTTGGCTTGCACATAAGTGGCAAATGCTTTCCCACCGAAGATGCAAACTCGTGGAACATATTTTTCTTTCCTTTCCGCGGCACTCATTTCTTTCATCTTCTTGTAACGGTAAACGATCCCCAAAACATTCAATAGTTGTCTCTTGTATTCATGAATGCGCTTCACCTGAAAAGGGATTCAAAAAAATCAGAAGCTCTGAGCATATACTCTAAACTTCTAATAATTGTGGCGGCATTAAAAGCAAATGACCTGGATATCAAACATCGCATCTGGGCTCACTGTATACCCAGTTCTTTCTTTCAGAAATGCCGCAGCTTTCAACTTATTGTTCCTTTTTGCTATCCTCCACTGATTTTGAAGGTTCTCATTATCGGCAAACTGCGGTAGAGAGAGAGTCATTTAGTGGTGAACATCAAAACCAAAAGACCAGTTTGTAATACAAATAGTATGTGTACGTACCAGTGTCCAGGTAATATAATAAGATCAATGACCTAAAAAGTGAATTACCTTTTTCAGTTCACCCAACTTTTCAGTGTTTAGGACCCAATCCTCTGAGCCAGTACACTTTGTAATAAGTGTGCTTAAATCAGGATTGCAGAAACGAATCCATCTTCTAGGTGTCACTCCATTGGTTTTGTTTTGAAATTTCTCAGGCCATAACTGTCAAAGTAAAACATCGGTCACATTACTTTTTCCAACTAACATGGAAAACGAAGGTCTCAATATTCTATCATGTATATACCTTATAGAATGCGTTAAACACTTCGTCCTTTACTATTTCACTATGTATCTCTGCAACCCCGTTAACTGCATGACCACCTACAACACATAGATTAGCCATTCGAACCATCTTTGGTGGTGGAGGTGGTGGTGGAATTAGTTTCACTTTCTTATCCTGAATGTTCTTGCTTTTGTTCTTGCTTTCAAGTTCATCGTTTCCCTCATCAGTTTCATCTCCATCAACGGACTTGACCAATTTTGCTGAGTTTTTATCATCAACAGAATTGGAAGCTGATGTAATGATAGAACTCGCTTCAGGTTCAATAAATATATCAGAATATGCAGCTGGCAAGTCAACATTTTCTAAAACTCTCAACTCCTTCAGCTTTCCACGTAACAGCACCTTATCTTCCGTGCCATATTTGGAAACAATACTTCGAACAAGCTGAAAAGAATAAAGCAGATATAAGAATTAATTAGAATTTAAGTGTCAATACTGTGGTCTTTTACATAGGGCGTTGCATAGCAATACCTCTTCATCAATCAGTTCTATGATCTCAACATGTCGAGGAAGCAATTTTTGCATGAGTTCAAAACTCCATTTCTCCAATGCCTCAGGCAGAACGGTATGATTTGTGTAAGCCACAGTCCTAAGCATCAAAAGGTAGAATATATTTATGGGCTTACGCTCAAACAGTTAGAACCTACAGGATTCCAAATAAGAATAATATGGCAAATATTTTTGACATAAAATAGTAGTAGCAACCATGACGCTCTCCCCTATACTATCAAATGATAGAAAACCCATAGCTATTCACTGAAATATATGAGCCTTTGTAGATATACCACAATTAGCATATTACCTTTGAGTAATATTCCAGGCTTCTTCCCAGCTTAAACCCTTCAAATCCAATAAAATTCTCATGAGCTCGGGAATGCATAGGGTTGGGTGAGTGTCATTCATCTGCACAGCAACCTTCTCTGGAAATTCTTCCCATTTCTTGTTTGCACCAGATCTTCTCTCAAAGCGTGCAACTATATCCTGTAGAGATGCTGAACATAGAGTATACTGCTGCTTCAGACGAAGAACCTTTCCTTCAAATGAATCATCTCCAGGGTACAGAACATGGCAAATCTGAAGTAAATAAGACAAACCGCTTCTATGAATTTCTACATGCAAATTGAAGATAAGGACAGGGCAAAGCCCCCTTTTTCAAGGAAAAATGTTTGAACCTTTTCAGCACTTGCAAGGGCCTCTGATGCTCTGGTATGTTCTCCAGCATTAAAAGCAGCTAAATCAAAATCTTCCGTTGTAGCTTTTGTTGACCAAAGTCGCAGGCTGATTGTATTTTTGGTTTTATATCCTGGAATTGGAACGTCATATGCTACAGCCTCTATATCCTCTCCACCAATCCAATTCTTTTTCCCATCTGATCCAACAACAACTTTGCCGTAGAACTTGATTGGATACTTTATATCATTTCTGACAATTTCCCAAGGGTTGCCAACCTGGAACGGAGATAATAGTACAAAAGTAAAATACATTGAAGTTGAAGCAGAAAGTGTGATTGTATTGATAATTAAAAAGGTGAAAATAAAAATACCTCGAGCCAATTTTCAGCAGCCTCCTGCTGACCATCCTTGGTAATTTTCTGTTTGAATAAGCCATACTTGTACCTTAGCCCATAACCCCATGCCGGGTAATTAAGTGTTGCCAAGGAATCCAAAAAACAGGAGGCAAGTCGCCCAAGGCCCCCATTTCCAAGAGCAGCATCTGGTTCCTATAATCAGTCTCAAAGAATTAACTTCTTCATCGTAATGCTTCTTTAATAAAAGAATTGAACCAGAAATAGAATTCCACGAGAGAAACTATAGAATAAGAAATCCTATATGGACAGAAGGGGGAAAGGTGGAGCTGTGTAAAGTAATGAGAAGAGAAAATGGAGAGATATCAAATAATTTAGTAACCAGCAATACGCAAAGTTAGAACGAAAGAATCACCAACATGAAAAGGCAATTGAACATCGTGTTAACCATCAGCAAAAGAAGAAGGCAAATGTTCTAGGGAGGAATAACATTAAACTGAAAGCAAATCCTATCAAATAACCCTACCTGACAAGCCACATTTTCCAATTCGTATCCAAGCTTGCTCAATGCCTCTGCATAGGCCCCAGTGAGCTCCAAATTACCAATTGCATTCAACAGTGCTCTACCCTACAAGGAAGAAAGGCAAAATAATAAAAAAAACATGTAAATAACTCTGAAAACCAGTAACTCCAGGAAGATGTGGAAAATAGTCCATGGTGGTGAATCACTAACCTGCAGAAATTCCATCGACAAATAATATGCCTGCTTGACATTCAACTTCTCGTAAAGTTCATATGTCTCATTCCAATTTATGATAAGAGCATCTCGAACACTTTGTGCAGTGGCAAAGTAGGCCTTAGGAAGATCAAATCGATCCGGAGAAAATAGAGGGGTAAACTCTGCATGGTATTTAATACTCGCGGCAATCGACGAGGAGTCCGGCTCAAAAGTACTCGCCCCGGTTGCTGATTCTGAAGGAAATAATGGGGTATAGCATGAAGCATAGTTCACTAGTACAGAAGTTTCAAAATTAAATGACATGGAAACTATTGCATAATGCAGCGTGATTTCATTCTTCCGACAAATATATATTATATAAAGAAGATGTCAATTTCTTTCGTAAGAACGCTAAATGACTTCCAATCGTCAATTTCGACAACATCATTCCAATCGCATCAGGACAGTAAATCAGCACATTATATCCTCCCTAAAGAAATGAAGAAATCAAATAATTAAAACGTCGTCCGATGCACAGCCAATGCCGATCATTACAATTTTCCAGCACAAGCAGTGAATCAGAATGTAAAAATAAAACCTCTCAACTAAAAGACAACCTCAGCGATCGATTTCAAAAATGAAAAATAAAATAAAACACAAGAAGATCATACAATGAGCACATAATCCAGAGGAAGCATCAACCTCAACGCCAATTCATAAAACAGAAAGTAAAATCAATCAATCAAACCAGAGAAAAAGCAAACTACCTTCATCAGCAACCGGATCCTTCAACTTCTGTGTCGGCTCACTGGACACATTCCTAACCACAAGCGTCCGCTTCGGCGATCGCCAACTCGAAGTCCGGACAAGAAGCAACCTGGATTTACCAAACCTGGTACTCAAACCGATTAGAGAAGGCAATGAATTGCAGCCCGAAAACGGTTCAGCTCGATTCAAAGCGACGGTCAAATGAGAGCTCGCTGCCATGGATTGAATGATTCTGCGTATTGAAAGTGGCCTGGACTGACTCGATTTTGGCTTCCAGTGTTTTGAGAGAGCGTTGATGTGTAAGAAACCAGATCATGAGTGAGCTATAAAGACACGAGCAAGCCGTTCGAAGTGACGAAATCACGGGCCCTCCATGTACTGCATCCGTAATGTGTGGGATTTTATCCCGTGCAGCCACTATTGTGAGCCATTGTATGAGTGGCTCCCAATATTCTTTATTATTATTATTTTTTAATTAAATCGATTTTGAATAACTTTTAAATCCTATTTTGAGGCACCCTTTTACTTAAATTCACATTTTCATTTATTCACTTTTTTTTAATTAAAATTTTATTTTCATTTAAATTTTATTTAAATTTTTTTTTTTATCTTTTGTTCGAGAATATATACTTTAACTATAGTCATTCCAAACTTTTGCTTTCTAAAATATTCTATTTTAATTTAAAAAATTGCATAATTATATTTCTATTCGATTATAAAATGCATAATAATTTTCTTTAAAATACATTAATAATAATTATTGTTGTTAATAAATAAATCAATTCCACTTAATCTTATTTCTTATATTTTCCTAATTTAATTTTATGTCATTTTAGTTTTAAATTTTAATGCTCTTATCCTAAAATGTTTTTAATATTCTATTAATGTCGGATATGATTATAATTATAAATTTTATTAATTTTTTTAAATATACCATAAATATTAAAATTTGGAGTTGTATTAAAATATATAATTTTATTGTACACGATCAAAGTTAAAAAAATCAAAATATTATAACATGACTAATTTATTTATTTATTTATTTTATTCTATATCTTTTATAAATATTTTTTAAGATTTTTAAACTAAGAAAAGTATTTTTCTATTTTCTATTTTATTTTTACTTTAAAAATTATATATTTTCCTTTAAAAAAATCTATCTCTAAACTTGTCAAACATGTTTTTTACTTTTTAACTTTATTCTCTCAAATTTCTTTCTTTATATAACTATTTTCACTCTAAAATTTCTCTCTTTTTTTTTCACGGACTAATATCCCCTCCCTAATTATTTACATTTTATAACTCTAAATTTGAAATAATTATCAAACATATTCAAATTTCTATTTTTTTAAATATAAATTAAAAAAAAACATTACAAAAATAGTTTATATTTTTTCCTAAACTAAATCAAAACATGGATGATAGGCGCTAACAATGTTGAATTTTGTAAAGGTAAGGGTATTTATAGAATTTTTGCAAACTTTCACAAAGAAAGCTAACTTAATGAATTGATTCCAATAAGATAAACAACTCTAAGATCGAACTTGGAATCTATGATGGTCACTCTTAGATTCCAAGATGACTCACTCCCTTGATCAAAACTAATCCAATTAATCGGTTTAAACATCAAACCTAAAGCAAAGTTTGAAAAAAAATAACACCAATAGGTATCAAGAAAACACGAAGGTTTTGTTTGTATTCAACGATGATCCCAAACATAATATTACATGCTTTTAAATAAGCTAACTCAAACATAACATACCAAAAAAGCCCGTAAATACAAATTTAAGAAAATAAAGCATGACATAAATAGTTTTAATGGGTAGTTCAGCTACCAAAAGACAAAAGTTTTCTAATCATTTTTTAATGTCAAGTAGAGTTTACTGTCACTCCATTATGTTCTTGAATTGATACATTGATGCTATAAAGATTTTTGGGCTCAAAGTCTTTGTTTCAACTTGTACATTGAATCTTCCAACCTTGCTTCTTGTGATCCTTCGAATACATTCAAAGGATAAAGTAGCTGAATTCATATTAATAAAAATAATAAAAAGACATAAATAGTTATCGCATAGAATTAAAGAGGTAAACGAGACCGAATTTGAATTGGAATTTTGTAATTCCATATTTATTATTACAGTAGTTTTAAAGAAATTATTTTATTGTTAAAATCTAAGTTAAATGAGAAAAAAAAGAATTATAGATCTTTAAAATTTTCTTAGAATAATAATTAAAATATAACCCACAAATATTAAAAATCTAAGAATGAAAATGTTCCATAAATATCGTAAAACCATAGTGGGAACCAAGTTACCTAAATAGACTACTCAAAATAATTAATGGTATATAGCCCCACAAACCTTAGCAAATGTCATAAATAATGGTTGATTTAAACTTTGTTAGGTGACATAAATCATATAAATGTCATTTTACATACATTAATTTAAAATATATACTCGTTTTGATATATAACTTTCCAATTTAATACTCTTCCCATATTATTTATTTTTCCTCCCTTTTTCAAATTTAGGATTTTTAAGTAATTAATTTTTTAAAATAATTTACTAAAAAATCAAAAATATTTCTCTACCCTGTTAGGGGTAAAAGTTATAATAATAATTGATATTTTATCTAGAAATGTCGGTGAAAATGGAAAAGTCTTTTTTGCCCTTGTCTTTTTTTTTTTTTTTTTTTTTTTTTTTTTTTTTTTTTTTTTTTT